TTTAAGGATGACTTCTGCCTCTCAAGGATGCCCCTTTTATAGTACTTTGACTAAAGAGAGCAGATAGGGTTTTTATTATCTGTGCCTGTTAGCCTTTCTGGGTTTCTAGTTTCTTCAGCAACAATTCTGGGATATATGAGATAAGAAGGCCCAAAGGACTCACAATTGTGTTGCTTCTCTGATTCCTAGCTAGTCAGCGTCTGCAACCTTTCTGAATCTTCTTGTTTGTTATATATATAATGTCCAGAGAATTTAGTTGTACTTAGTAGCTAAATAGGAATACAGAAAAATAAGTCTATTTCATTTTTCTCAAAGTTAAAGTCCCCTTTAAGATTTTTTTCTATTGAGGTTTAATTGACATATTTCCCTTAAGAATTTTATTTACCTTTTAAAAAGTCTTAGCTCCTTATATATTGTAACCTACTCAAAATCCCTCTGACTTTATCTTTTTCCCCCAGCCATTTCATAGCCATCATTATGGCTACCAGTTTTGTGCTGGTTTGATCAGCTTAACAAAGTGCAACCTGTCAGAGTTTTAACTCAGCCCAGTGCCATATACCTCCTTTGGAGATTTTTCTTTGACGCTATTGCATGGGGGCCTGCAGAAGCCACTAAACACTCATGCAGAAGCAAACTGGGATGCTAGGGAGTTAATGCTCTGTGAGGCAATTCTTAAACAGATGGGGGGCAGGAGTGATAATTACTTCCACATTATTTTAGGGAGTCCTGCAAGATCTGGCAACAGTTGCCATTTTGTCTTGAATTTCCCCTTTACTGCTTCAATCCCACTGTACACTTTCTCACTGGATCATGTGCCCCAACAGAGTAGCTGGATTTAGACCTTTGTCTCGGGGAATCCAAGGAAGACACAGATTATACTCTGGCAATAAAGTTTTATTTCAGTATCAGAAATCACTTCATTGTTTCGTATCTCCACAGTACTCCCTCTGCTTTTCCTCATTTACTCTCCATAGCACCGTACTCAGGCTTACTGCAAATATCATTTATTCATGAAACTTTCAGGCACACTCTTGCCAAAGCTGCTTTCGCTCTCCTCCTTCTGGCCATTCTACCTTATAAATCTCATGATGTGGCCACTGGGGCCCCTACATTAATAAATTTGGTTTTATATCTGACCTCTACTATAATATCTGCTATTGTTTATTTGTGTATTCACTTCACTTTTTATAGGGTCTGAAACATTTGTGAATGGTTCTTGAATGTTCAACTTTGAATGATAGCAAAGAAATGGACATTGGACATGAATTCTGGCAACAGCTGGGGGAATTGAGGTGATCATCATCGGAAGGAATCCCAAATATGTGATGCTGGTAATCTCTGACCGCAAATATTACTGAGTAAATATTTCCTTCTAATAATAATTAAAAAATCCTAGGGACATCTCTATCCTCAGGAAAAAAAAACAAATTTATGTTCTGTTCTTGTTAATTTAATTTGGGATAAATGATGTGCTGCTCAGAGTTGGGGCTAAGTGAAATTACTGGGGGATGGAAGCTTTTTTACGTATGGGTAACCACAGACTCTTTGGCCCCCAAGGGGAATTCGATACCTAAACTGGTGCCCTCCACCGACAAGGCCAAAATAAACACGGCTGGGAACAGGGCAGTGTTTTCATGGTCCTCAGTCCCTGGAGACTTTCTCACTGGGAAAGATTCTCTCACTGTAGTGAGCATTTGCCTGAGTCGCAGGGCGTCTAATGGCCAGGGCTGCCTGGAACCACCTCTACCAGTTGACTTAGCAAGCAGAGCACCCAGAGGGCCTCCTCCTGGAAACCCTTCCAGGTCAATGGGAACTGGACAGCAAGAACTCTCCCAGGATCCTGGTCTATGTGAATAAGAAATAAACAATGGATACAAACCTCGTTTGGTTTACCACCTTCTAGAATGCAATCATATTTTCTTGGGACAACTCTGAAAACTGTGGACTTTCTGTTGGTCTTCCTCCTTTAGTTCAAAACACTAGTCATTTTATTTTTTTTTTTTTTACTATGTCATTTTTAAATTGGCAACATTTTATTTTATTTTATTTTTTTAAATAAATTTTATTTTTATATTCCCCATACAATTGCAACCCCCTTATTTTGACCCCAATCCCTCCCCTCCCCACCTCCCACCCCCCGTAGAGTGTCTCTGGTTCATAGTTTTTTGTTGATTTTGATTTTCACTTTCTTATAAACACTAGTCATTTTAATCCCATTTGAATCCCACCTTCTCCATTCACCATGCTCCTTTCCTTTTTCCCACCTCCCAGCCTTAGTTCTGGTGGGGGTATAAGAGAAAGAAAAACCAAACAATCTTGTTCTTAAATTCCAAGCTCCTAGACTAATGTGACTAAATAGTGGTTTTTTTTTTTTTTTTTTTAATCTGTGTTTTGCTTGCTATGGCTTGCTTGCCATAGACAGAAACCCACATTCTGATCATTCAAAATCCCTGTGGGACACAGGGATTTATTCCCAACCCTTCATCGGTACTAATAATAATGAGGATGTATTGAGCTAATGATCTGTATTAAATACTGTTCTAAGTGTTATACATATATTATTGCATATAATTCTCACTAAACCACTGACGGTAGGTACTATTATCATCCCTAAGAAACATGAGGAAAACAAATCCCAGAAAGGGTAAATTGACATGAGTCACAGAACTGTTTGCTTTTTCTATTGCTCTGGGCTTCCTTTTAGAGAGCCTGTGAATATCTCCTGGGGTGGAAAATCCCCAATCTTTGAGAGATTGAATTTTGGAAAGAGCCATAATTGGCAGAATCAAGGAGTAGGAGATCAAGTTGAGAAACACCATGTTTGGACAAACAGCAGGTGTGGCCCGAGGGAGGGTCTGGCTTTCCAGTGTGAGTCAATAAGCAGTCCCCAAGGGATCCTGGAGAGTTTTAGCCCAGAGGCCTTTGGAAATGCTGTGGCTTCTTAATGTTCAGAACAAGGAATGGGATTTAGAGAACAGCTAATTTAATCACCATGGTTTATAGAGTTAGTTCAAAGAAATGATGTGAGTTAGACAAGGTCACTCCCCTCATCGCAGAATAGGAACTTATCTCAGAGGTCCTGTACCCCATCCCAGGTCTCTGGGATGCACTTAACTACCTGGCTGGGGGCACACCATGCTCATGTCCTCCCTGCTCTCTGAGCTGCTCTAGGGACACATGAATTCTCTTCTAGGACAAAGAGGAGTGTGGAGTAAGAGATTCACCATCTCTCTCTCTTTTTTTTTTTTAAAGATTTGTTAATTTACGTATACAAGAACTGAGGTGAAGGCTAGAGTTGCGGGGGTAAGAGGATTCACCAGAGACAGAGTGGAGAGCAGAACAGAAGGATCTATGGAAATACACTGTTGAGGGGAGCAGTGAGTGAGACAGGAGAGGTCTGCTGCGCCATGTAGGTTAGCTCCCTGACCAGCCGGGTATCTAACTCACGCGGCAGTGGCTGATGATAGCTTGATAGCGCTGTGTCTTTAATCCCCTGTGCCATCAGGGAGGCCCCGGGTCAACATCTCCTTAAAAACAGTTCACATCACTCCACTAGATGGAGTCCGTGGAAGCAGGGACAGCTGACTTAATCTTCGAATGTTCCTTTTCCTTTCAGAAGAAATATGGAAACTTAGAGAACAAAAGATTTTTTTCTCATAGACTGAATTCATCTTGAACTCTGAAGGGGAAATGTTATCTTGGCCTGCATGTTTCGAAAGGAACAACAGAGGCACAGGAGGGTAAACGATTTGTCCAAAGTCACCTCCTAGGGGAAGTCATTTTCCAAGATCCTTGTCACTTACATTGACATTCCACGATGCTTGTAAGACTACATTCTCATCAAATGTGAAAAAGTAAACTGCAGCATCATGGAAACGTGGTTTAAGTCTGGGCTCAGCCATTTACTATTGAGTGACTTAGTGAAAATTACATAAATTACTCTTTCATAAGTTTCATCTTTGCATCAGTTTCCTGAATTGCAAAATGAAGAGCAATTTGCAGGGTAATTTGGTTTATTCAAAGTCACTAATTTTCCAAAAATGCTCTCATAGAAACATCCGGAACAATGTTTGACCAAATGACTCAGCCCACTTGCACATAACATTAATTATCATAGGGTTCTCTGATTTTGTCTAATCTGCAAAATTACCACCACTTTATCATTCTAATCAGTACATTCTTGCTAAATGATTCATTGATAGTCATAAACTGCAACATATTTTTGGAAGTTTTTTCCATTTCTGTATTTTTTTGCCTGACGAATGAAACCCCATTATGAAGTCATAGGAATAAAAAAAGAGGTAAGAAAATCTGTGACTTACCCAAGGACACAGAGTCAGGAACTTGGTCTTCCCTCTTTTGTTTGTTTACCTTCAGGCTATGTGACCAGAGGCAAGGCAATCGATGTTCTTCACTATGGGAATTGAAATCTATAAAAATTTCCTTTTTTTTCCCCATAGAAGGACTGGGGTGTAGGTCCGAGGTGCAGGAGGTGAGAAGATTCACCAGAGACAAGTGGGGAGCCGAATAGGTGGATCTATTGAAACATACTGTTGAGGGGAGCGGCAGGCAAGACAGGAAAGGTCTGCTGTACCATATGGGTCAGCTCCTTGGCCTGGGATCAAATCCAGGCCATAGAGGTCATATTGCTGAGACTTAACCCTGAGGCCACCAGGAAGGTCCTGAAATCTATAAAAATTTCCACTAAAAAATCATGGGACTATCATAATCCTAGTTGTCCTATTGTTGCTTTGGATTAAATATCATCCTCCTTTTGCAATTTCAGTTCTTCTTAAATTGTATTATTTTTATTAAGGTGATGTTGTTTGCAGCACTATATGATTAGAAGTATAGGCTCACTCTCTTCAGATGCATGCAACCACAGTACACCCAACCACCAAAGCACCAGTAATTCTCTACCACAGTCCACTGGGTCGCTCTTTATTTTGCTTCCCTCACCTTCCCCTCTGGTAGCCTCAAACTGAGGGTCAGATTTCCAAAAAAATATGGAATGCTTCATGAATTTAGGGGTCACCTTTGTGTAGGGGTCATGCTGATCTCTTTTTATATTGTTCCAATTTTTGTTTATGTGCTGCTGAAGCAAGCACTCTTTTGGCAGTTTTAATAAAACCTAAATTACGTGTACACACACACACACAAACCAATATATCCAAAATAGTCATTTCAATATGTTCTTAATGTAAAATTGATAATGGTATCTTTTACATTCTTTCTTTGTTGATTTTTTAGTTGTAGTAAAACATACATAATCTTAAGATGGCTGAGTCAGGGAGGGTCCTGGGACAAGGACAGGAATCAAGCTCAAAAAATTTGCAAGAATTTTGCTGTTCCCACAGTCTGCTAAATAGGAGGTTAAAAACCTAGTAACTCTGGGCCTGAACACTTGCTGCCATAAATTTCCTGGCTCATTGTTTTGTTTTGTTTTTGTTTTTGTTTCACCATTTTGGAATTAGTGCTCCACAGTTTATCATGTTGACTGCTATGGGAAAAGAGGGAGTTGCAGACAGACAGAGAAAAGCGTCACAGGCCTTGAGACCAGACTGGGTCACACCAGAGCTGTAGGCACACGGCATCCATGAGATGCTCGCTTTGGAGATGGTCACCGGCCCCAACCTGCTCTGATGGGTGCCCACAACTAGCAACAAATGGGCTTTTGGCAAATCCACTCTCCTTGCTTACTGAGCCAATAAAGGTTATTTTCTTTGTTCTCAACCCCCAGTCCTAAAACCTACTGTAGTGCCAGCAATGGCACAGAGCAGGATACCTATGTTTGGAGCAGATGGGTAAAGGAGAGTGCTGGAGACTTCTGTGGCTTTCTCAGGCTTTTATTGAGCTTTTACATGCATTGCAGCAAACAGATACACGGCAGGCAGGCCTCCAAGCCCCCAGCAAGTTTTCTCTCTGGGCTTCTCTGGCCTTCTTCTGTCTCCTATCTCCTGCCTCTCTCGTGTTTCTGCTTCTCTTGGGGGAATATCTCAATACTCCTCCCATGGCCCACAGAAGTAAACAAGACAGCTTACAACAATGTAACAACTGCAGGTGCCCCATCAGGCAGGGCAATCCTAATGGCAGGAGGGCAGAAAAGCCTGAAAACCATTTACCCTACCCTTACATAGACCCCTGGTCTGGCTCCTCAGAGAGTCCATGTTTCTTGCCCAAGGAGATCTCTTAGAAGTTCTCTTTTACCATTCATTAATCATCAAATCCTTGCCTGCCCTCACTAGTGTCTGTAGAGGCTTCATTTTATTTTATTTTATTTTATTTTTTAAATGTTAGTGAAATAATGTATTTATTTATTTATTTATTTTTACATTGCTGTTCATTTTTGTACATTGTTTGATTACTCCTCTTAGGTGTTGTCCCCATAAAATTACAACCACAAAGACACTCATGAACCATCACCGTAGATTATTGTTCTCTTCCCTTCTGTTTTGATCCCTTTCCTTCCCCCTCCCCTGGTGAATGTCTCCAATTTATAGTTTGACTACTAGGTTTTTTTCCCTTTCCTGATGCTATGTATGGTTTCCCTGTATTCCTCCTATAAGTGAAACCATCTGATATTTTTCTTTTTCCTTCTGCTGACTTATTTCACTGAGCATAATCCCTTCCAACTTCATCCATGTTACTGCGAATGGCATAAATTTATCTTTTTGATGGCTGAGTAGTATTCCATTGTGTATAGATACCACATCTTCTTAATCCAGTCATCTGTTTTGGGGCATTTAGTTTGTTTCCTGGTCTAATCACTATGGAAAGCTGTGTAGAAGGTCCTCAAATTACTAAAAATGGAGCTACCATATGACCCAGCAATCCACTCCTAGGAATTTACCCAAAGGACACAAAAGCATTTATTCAAAAGGATATTTACATTCCTATGTTCATTGCAGCACTATTTACAACAGCTGAAATATGGAGGCTTCTTTTTAATCGCAACCAGAGGGTCTCAAGAACACTTTCTTGGGTTTGGGAGCAGGGCCTCTCAGTTCATCCCATTGATTTCCAGCAGGTGAAGCAATGGACAGTGGCTGGTTCACTCCCAGTTTATACACCTGCCTTGTTGGAGGATTTATCAGACTGAGAGACCAGGGCTGCTCCCTTGTTTTGACAATTTTTAAGTTTACAATTCTGTGGTATTCCTTACATTGCTGTTCAAGCATCACCACTATCCATTTCTAAAACTTTCACATCATTCCAAATTGAAATTGTGTACCGGTTAACTCCCTCCCCCTTCCAGTATTTGTTAACCTCTATTCTACTTTCTAGCTCTTGTTGCCTATTTTAGGTACCTTATAATTTGCCTGTTTTTAAGAAATTATCTTAGGTAACTCTAATTTGCCTATTTTAGATAACTTATGTAAGCGGAATCATACAATAATTGTCCGTTTGTGTCTAGTTTATTTCACTTAGCATGATGTTCTCAACATTCATCCATGTTGTAGAATGTATAAGAATATTATTCTTTTTTATGACTGAATAATATTCTACTGTATGGATATACCACTTTTGTTTATCCATTCATTTGTTATGAGCATTTTGGGTTATTTTCACCATTCTGCCTATTTTGAATACTGTTTTTGTGAATACTGACATACAAATTTCTGAAATATTTTTTAAAAATGAAAATCTTAGGGCAGAGGGGAAAAAGGAAAGAGCAATAAAAAATGAATAACATGGGCTATGGTGGGATGGTGAGGCAATTTGGAGCGGGAGATAGATGCTTTATTAAATTGAAAATATGGTCATGATCTTAGACATATGGAAGTAGATAGGAGGGTAAGATTTAAGGTAGAGTAATATACAGGGGGTAGAAGAGGATGAATGTTTTGGGGAGACATGGGGGTTATCCAACCTCATAAATTAAGGTCCTGACCTCATTCTTTGAGGATAAGATCCAATCCTTGAATTTTCACTTTCACAGCAGCTCAGCATCCCTTTGTTCCTTTAGGAAAGTCACCCATTTTTTTCATTCTTTCTCTTTCCCTCAAGTCCTGGACTTTCTACATGTCATCGAGGCCACTTTACTGCCTCTGAGCAGGGAAGCACAATCGGATACTCACAAGTAAATATGCTAGGAGGGCTCTTCCCTGGGAAGGAGGTCAAATGTCTGAGGTTCCCTCCTCCAAAGAAAGCACCCATAGGTAGGAATGTCCTCCATGCTTGATTCCACCATGTCCCCCACCCAAGATGAAGTGACTGAAGGAAGACATGAGCCCAGTGATTGAAGTAGACTTCAGCTTCTCATCAGACCCGCTCAGGAATACAGTGGGATTGTCCACCCTGAGAAAGATGCCTCCAGCATCTTTTTATCAGACTTTTTTTTAAAAAAAGAATTATTTATGCATACAAGAACTGGGGTATAGGCCAGAGGTGTGTGGGGGTGAGGACTCACCAGAGACAGAGTGGGGAACAGAACAGGTGGATCCATTGAAACACACTGCTGAAGGGAGCAGTGGGTGAGACAGGAGAGGTCTGCTTTGCCATGTGGGTTAGCTCCCTGGCCAGGGATCGAACTGGTGCCACAGTAGCTGGTGATAGCTTGATAGTGCTGAGACTTAACCCTTTGCACGACCAGGGAGGCCTGCATCCAGCATTCTTACAACTGTACAAATGGTATCTCTCAGGACATCTGCACTGGAGGGAATGAAGACTCGGGAGTCTCTCACATCCCCAAATCTGAGTTTATAGGGTTCTATCAATGTAAAATCAGTAGCATAATACTTAGAAGAATTTAAAATAAAATTTTATTATATCAACGCTAAAGTTAAAACCCAGACATTCATATATTTGACAGGTACAGAATGCACTAAGAAAACAAAGACATCATAAAGTAAATGTAAAAGATAAATAGGAGAAAAATATTGTCCTTTAATTTGGAAAGAAGCAGGCTGTAGATGATAACCATGGCTGTAAATTGTGAAGGGTAATTTTAAGATTTTGCCTGCAACAAGGGCAGAGCTATGTCACAATACAAATACAAAATCATTCATCTGATCAGATTGCAGAGACTGTTAAACCAGAAACAATATCACATGGAAATGAAGCAACTGTATTTGCTTATCAAATTAATTCCAAATCTTGGCACAGCACCCACAGACTCTGTGACTTAGTTATGTTAACTTGTTCATGTAAGCCTCATTTCTCTCACTTATAATGGAGAGAAAAACCGGTATCTACACCATAAATTTGTTGTGCAGATCAGATAAAACCTTAATCACACTGCTGGGAACATGGTCAGTACTCATGTTTATTGGTATAATTAATGAGGACTTAGATAAATTCTTAGGTGATACATAGTAAGCCACAATGACAAGGCCTGGTTTCTGTAAATAATCAGTTTGATTTCCCCACTTTAAAAAGTTGTATATGCCAGCTAAGAAAGACCTCCATAATGAAATTTAGAAAGTAGCAGCAAAAACAAGTCACTAGTAAGTTTAGCATATTTGCTTAAAGATACCATAAAATTGTTTTACAAGGTAATTTCAGTAATGTTTTCTTATACTTTTTCTCAACATTTTAATCATGTCTTATTTTATAGCAGAGTCTTTAAAGGTCACATAATATTCCTTCAATATGGTTTATTCCACGTAACATTCCATGAAGTAAATGGGCCACACTTGAGTTTCCTATTCCTTACATTATATGTTATTTCCCAGAATTTCTAATGTATCACTATTCTAAGTAATGGAATGTGCAATATAGTTTATGAAAAACTATTTTCTGCATTTAGGGATAAATTTCCAAAAATGACTTTACAGCATTAAAGACTTACTAAACTTATTAAAAGTTTTTGCTACATATTTCCAATTATACCATCAGCTCTGATGCTCAAGAATATGTTTCAACATAATCTCTGATTTCATTGTGAATTTTCATTAATTAAAAACTGCTAATTTGACAGGCAAAAATTTTACCTAATTATTGCTTTAGTAGAGATTTCTTGGATTATTAGACAGAATGATTTTTCCTTTGTTTCAAAGTCATTGGTAATTTTTGTTATTCTTTATGCCTGTTCACTATGCTTTGGGGCCATAGTAACTTTTTTAATTTAAACTTTTTATATAAAAAAGATATAGCTTACATGTTGATC